AGGAACTCCGACCGCATACCCCAATGTAAAAGATGCCAAAAACTATACCATACAAGGACACACTGCCGAAGACCCGTGACCTGCGCCCTTTGCGCCAAATCCCACCCCACCGAAGAATGCCCCTCCTTATCCCTAGATCAATCCACCCCCTTCACACCCACCTGCTGTAACTGTAACCGCAACCACCCAGCCTACGACCCTATCTGCCCATACCTGACTAAAGCAAAACAAATCAGAGAGCAACAAACAAGACCCCCCCACTCATGCACCACCTCCCGACATGTCCACAAAGTGTTTCCCTCCCCACAGACAAATTAATCAAACCTACTCTCCTGCCTCCGCCCCTAACCAACCGAACCCAAACCCCAATCCACAGCCACCCAAGATATCAAAGATCGACTCTCACTCCTACAATCACCTACCTTCAAAAACCTCTTGCCCCATCTACGAACCTTTATAGACATCCTAAACGGCCCAGAGGACATCCAAACTAAATTAATAACCGCCGCCATCAAACTAGTAGAGATACTCAATTAATGCCCCCCCAGTCCGAATCCTATCCTTTTCCTCGTGGAATGCACGCGGAGGTTTAGCCCAGAAAAAGCCCATCCTCGCCCAGTTCCTAAATGATTACTCCATCGGGATCCAACTACTACAAGAGACAATGCTGATACCTACCAACTCCTTCACCATCCAGAATTACCTCACCTACCGAAACGACAGAACCTTTGCCCCAGGAGGCGGCACGGCCATCCTCATTAGACGATCCCTCCCGCACACCCCCTACCAACTTCCCAAATTCACATCCCTTGAATGTATTGGCATCCTACTTGGAACCCCCACTACTCCCATAATCATCATATCAGCCTACAAAAGACCTCACTCCTCGTTTCCCACCTCTGACTTGAACATCCTCAACAACCTACCCCATCCTTTTATCCTTGCAGGCAACTCCAAATTCACGGGATGGGGCTGCTCGACCAGTAACATAGCCGGACTGCGACTCGAAGACGTCTTGAACAACAACCCACAAATACACATAAAATGTCCCCCTGAACCCACACACACTGTCAACGGAAACCCTCACGACATCCTCGACTTTGTCCTACACTCCTTTCAACTATAAGTCACCATACCTAACGCCAAATATGACCTTTACGACTTTTCCGACCACTTCCCAATCATATTCACTTCCTCATCCACAACAACCTACATTTCCCCCAAACCTCCAACCATTCACAACACCAACTGGAAATCCTATAAACATATCCTGTCAAAAAAGATACAAGTCCCAGCCAACCTCCCAACAATACCTTCAATAGACAAATCCATTGAACACCTAAACCACCATATCCTTCGCACCTACAAACGAACCACCACCCACACCCAACAACTACACCCTACCGTCCCCGACGAAATAATACTAACTATCCGACTAAAAAGACAAATACAACTACGTTTCTACAAACACAGACACGACGAAGACAAAAAACTTTTAAAACAGACCCAAAGACAAGTACACCGACTTCTTCAAAACTATGAGACAAACAAATACGACTTGCTTAACAACAAAAGCAGCCCCAATAATATACATAAAGTGATAAAGGCAGTACGAGACACCCAATTTCTCCCATTTACACAACCCAAAACTCCCAAACCTTCGACCCTCAAATCATTGCCGACACATTAGCCCAAACCCTGGCCGACCGTTTTCGTGACCCCAACATCCCTATTCCCCAAAACGTACTCCTTAACGCCTCGAGAACCCCTACCCTATCCCTCAATCAGCAAACGACTTGGACGACAAACACGGAAATTAGACAACTACTGACAATGACTAACCAAGAAAAAGCTCCCGGACCCGATGGAATACGTCCCACCCAACTCCGTAACTTCCCGAAAAATGCCATTGACCTCATCACCCTCATCCTCAATTCCTGTTTTAAACTCTCTTACTTCCCCTCCATCTGGAAAACAGCCCGTGTGTCCATGATTCCCAAACCTGGCAAAGATCATCGGCAACCCACCAACTACAGACCCATAAGCCTCCTCTCCATACTAAGTAAAATATTTGAAAAAGTGATCCTCCTCCGCCTAACCCCTATCATTGACCCAATCCTAGATCATTCCCAATTCGGCTTCCGCGATGGTCGCTCGGTGGCCCTCCAAACACTAAACCTAACTCTATAGCCACACCCCTTCAAGACCGAAAAGAAATCCCTACTATTCTTACAGATCTCACACAAACCTATGACACTATATCCCACCCTATCCTCCAAGCAAAAATCCGTCCCCATATCCCTGACCACATCATCTCTCTACTCCAAAGCTACCTTACCCTCAGATCCTTCTATGTCCAATATTACTCAAAAAAATCCCCCAACCACCCCATCCAAGCCGACATCCCACAGGGCGCCGTGCTCTCCCCACTCCTTTTTTCCCTGTACATAAATGACATCCCTTCCACTCCCGGAGTAGAGAAATTGCTCTATGCCGATGATCTGGCATTCCTTGCTTCCTTCCGTAACCTCACCCGCTCCCTACGAAACGTCCAAAAATCCCTCGACTCCTTCCACCTCTGGGCCTCCCAAAACTCCATCACCATCAACCCCTCCAAATCCCAAGCCATCCTTTTCTCCTACAAAACCTATCTATCAAACCCTCCCCCTCTGACCATAAACCAAACTCCCATCCCCTGGCAACCCAATGTCAAATACTTCGGCATCACCCTCTCCCGCAGACTCCTTTGGTCCAAACACGTCCTTAACACTACCATCAAAACCAACCGTATCACAAACGCCCTTTACCATATCCTGTTCAATCCGTCTATCCCAATCCAAAAGAGAATCCAAGCCTATAACACCTACATCCGCCCAACCCTCTCCTCCGCCCATCCTACATGGTTCAATACCTCCATAATAAACTATAGAAAACTTACCGTAACCGAAAAGTCATCCGCCTTATCTTCCGCCCCCCCCCTCCGCTAACCCGTTTTAACAACTTAAGAGATTTACACAATATGCCTCACATACCTCTATAATTCCTCAGTCCAAACCATACAAAAGTTCATTACCGATCCCCAATTCAGAAACATAATCATACCCCACCACCATATTCTCCGAAATCCCCCCAGACACACACGAAAAAAACACACCCTTGATATCCTACAACTCCCCCCTCCCATTACCTAGGCCAAAGGGTGGACATAGAATAACTGACAAACGACATAAAACTACGGACTAAACACTGACCCACGACGGACCAAAGAATGACACGTACCTTTTCCCAACCCCTCCTATTCCCGATCCCACTCCTTTCCTTAATCCATTCCCCTCCCCTTCCCCTATTACCAAAACCCCTTAACAAAAAATTACCCTATATTTCCCTCTCTCCCCGACTCCCAATCCCCGTCCCTGTAGGGGGAGAGAAGTCGCAACGCGCAAAACACACAACCGGAAGAAGAAGAAACTGGACGAAGAGTCTCGTAAGAGACAGGCGTACCAGTAATAAAACACCACAGATCCTTCCTTCCTTCCTTCCGGGAGAAACCTTTTAGTGGCTATGATTTCAGCTGGTTTGCATTCTACATAGAAGAATGGGGGAATTTTTTAATCAAACAATACATATTATTTAGACTCTGAAGATGAAGATCTTCAAATTCCTGATATCATAAATGAAGCAGAATGAGCCCTTTCAAAATTATTGCCTGTAAAATCGAGTCATACCTACTACAAATAGTACGAATGTTTCTGCAGATTGAGAAATCAGAGGAAAGGTATAAAAAGTTTCAGAAGAAATTGTACTTGTGTATTTAAACAATTAACATTAATGATGTTAGGAATAAAGTCTCATTTTAACATAGGAAAAAGTGTGATTAAAGCCATACTTTAATGACGTTTAAAAATAAAAAATATTTCATTATAGTCCCACACCCTGATTATCTACTGAAGAACTTCACATCCTTTTAAAAATTAAACAAAACAAAATAAATTAAATGGTGCACATTAAGTTTTACCTTAAACCTTATTTTGAGAGGATAATGCTCTTCTTTTTGCTGTTAAAATCCTAGTGGATAATCTTTGCCCAATAAAAACGCCTCTGCATTCACAGTATATAATGCAATAGTAAAATGATGCAATATTTGACAAACATTTCTTCGATTGAGAATGTACATTATATATAGTCTACTTTGTAGTATTTTAAAATACTACTACTAATGAAGAAAATGCTTAACTTATTTTTTAGGAATACATAGCATTTTGTTAAGTATTGAAAAGTATTTGTCCAATTGCAACCATGTTTCAATAAAATAATATTCCAAATAAATTAATACTGTCAAGGTTAAAATTAACATTGTAAATTCTTATCCTAAAGAGAGATCCAGTTTAAATATTTTTCAAGAGTTAACAATATACTTGGTTAAAATAATCAGCACCATGCAAAAATTCTAATACTGAACTGACAATCTTCATCCCATACACAGCTATCTTGGGACATTCATAATACTTCAAAAGATCACTGGATCCAGGAGTTTACATGTTGACAATTGCAAAATAAGTTTTGAAGACACAAATTACAAATTACCTTCTAGAGATCGAGAAATCAAATATCTATTCTCTGATATGTGTATCATATTTTGAAGTTATCATGTACGAATAAGTTTACAACATGAAATAACACCAATTGGCATAAAACAAATTTTGACAAAAAGATATGATTAAAAATGAAAATACAATGTTCCATGCTACAATAATGAAGCAAGCAATACTCCACAGATGCATCCTAGTTTCTGTAAAATGCAAAACTAACTGCAGGGTTTGCAAACTGGTTCCAAAAACATATTGGTCTAGTTTTCAGTGCTCTGAGTTCTTAATGGCTTGGGAACGCAATACTGAAAACGTATTACTTAATCTCTACAAATAAAACTAGTTTCTGACATGAACATATTTATAATCATTTCCAACACAACCATGACTTGCAGGAAAATAATCTTCTCCTACCATTTGAGTTGCACAGGTGTCCATCGGTTGTTCTCTCCAAAATTTGTGTATTGAAGAAAACCTTGCAGAAGATCATGTCACACCTGGAGAAGAAAACAATTTAAATTAGACAACAAAATCTTTTGTTCGCAATTATGGGGAAAAAAATTAATTATTTTTTGTCCATAAACAGTATAATAACAACAATAATAATACCAATACCAATAATAATAATAATAATAATAATAATAATAATAATAATAATAATATTAATAATAATAAAAATAATAAAAATAAAAATAATAATAATAAAAATAAAAATAATAATAATAATAAAAATAATAATAATAATAAAAATAATAATAATAAAAATAATAAAAATAATAATAATAATAATAATAATAATAATAATAATAATAATAATAATAATAATAACAACAACAACAACAATAACAACAACAATAACAACAACAATAACAACAACAATAACAACAGAAAATTAATCCGGCAATGCATGCGTCTTAAATAATGAAGTCACCCAGTGCAAATTCAAAAAACGTCACGAGCTTTTCAAAATCTTTACCTTCCAGATCTTTATGTGAGCAAATGGTGATAAGACAAGTTTGGGCTGTGTAGTATGTGAACCAATGAATTGGCTTACTCCAACATCTTTGGCAACACGTCGGATTCCAGCATGTGGATGAAGTATAGTTGTAGCAGATTTGTAGCAGATTTGTAGCAGATTTACGTGGTTATTATAGCACAAAAATGTGCATCCTAGCCCTAATAATTGCCATCATTGAATTCCGTGTGTTGTCCCCTATTCTCAAGTTTAAAGAAGAAATTTTGTTTCCCCTGGAATTTACGTATCATTTACTTACTAACTATTTATGAGTACTAAACTAATAATCCGAGGCATTTGAGCTGTTGTGATGAATTATGTTGCAGGCAAGTTGCAAAATTGCCACAAGATAAAGAAAAAGTGGGGAAAGTACTTCTAACATTATTGATACCATGTACATTAAATGATTTAAAGAACTAATTTTGTGGATTAGATTGCATTGACAAAGAAATATTTAACTTCAATATTCAGGGAAGAGGACACATTCGAAAAAAACATTCAAATTCCACAACTTTGAAATTTCAGATATCTTGATTCAAATTGGACCTACACCATTGTTATATGAATTTTCAGACAAATGGTTCCACTGACCATGAATCATGCCAACATTACATAAATCACTGCCATTTTAAGGACCTTGTTTAGTGACTTTTATTGTTGTTGTTTAAGTGGAGTCCAATTCAGTAGAAGACAACCATTACACAGAGCACTTTGTGAAATTTGACCCCCCCCCCCCAACAAAAAATATTTAAAAGCAGTCATTTGAGAAAATGTTAAGGTATTTTTGTAAAATAGAACTAAAACTTCATAATTGTTCCTCAGTTCATTGAAACAGACATTTTAAAATATTTATTTGTAAACCAAAATTGTTAACATTCACATATCTTCTTACGTTACTGAACATACTGAGTCTCCATCAGATAAAAAACTGTAATAATATACAAAAAACTGAACTTAAAATTAATGAATCGTAGTAACTTTGATATTGTGTCTTTTCTAAGTCACAATTATGTATCATTAAATATAGTCATATAAGAGTACCACAACTAATAAAGTTGTATTGGAGTACGTAATTTAGTGATTTTTAAAAGAGGCACACACCACTTATTAAATTAAGACAAACAATCTCATAACACCCAATTGCAATCTAAGTAGGTCACATCCGGTAGGCAACAATTTGCTATAATGGTTCATCAGAATATTGTAGACCCTAAATACCACCAGTGTGTTACGAGAAATGGATGTGCTTCATACATCTAGAGTATAACAGTTGCTATGCTCCTGAACGTCAATGCACATGTGCTATGATTGAACGATCATGCTAGAAGATTATGCATTGTTCACTACTACATCAAAAAGCTACAATTCTGAAGAATGTCTTGACTCAGAAAGACAGAGGGCGGTATGTCGGGGTAGTCTAGTCCATGGCAAACTAGAGATGCTGCAAATGTTACCGTCTTCCCACAAATTTGATAAAACATTATAGAGCCAGGAATTGATGCAGAGCTTATCGTATACCTGGCTTTATTACTAGTTTCTGCCTGATCCTAATCATCACATTCTGACATATCTACTTCAAAATCACAATTTCTGATGACGTTCTGATAGAACTTGAACCTGTCTGCCTGAAAGTTTATCAGGATCGTTGCAGAATTCTTAACCAACATAATTATCACCTTCCTTTCCAAGAACAGTTGCATCTATGAAAATATAAATTTGACCAACATCCAACTACCATTTCAAGTTCTTCCATGTCTCATAATTACTCAGCCCTTTCAGACAGTTATGTGCCGATTTGCATATGAAAACCGATCATAAACACAATGCAGGAAATTATGTATTTTTAATTTCTTTATAATCGAATGACTAATCAAACAAGTTTATTGTAATGAATCCAATAACAGGCTTCTCAAATAACTGATACAATTGAATTTCGATTTTGCATACATAGAGTGTTGGTAGTCGCTTGCCACTCGGTCATTCATTACCCAGACAAGTTTGTACCTATACTACACACGGTTAGAGATTTTCAAATATTATGTCGTTAATTTATTTTTCTTAAAACACCGTATCCTCGAAGTCAGTTTGCATTAACAATGCCCAACAATAATGATTAATAAAAGACCACCTTAAATGCAAGTGATACAATGTTACAGATTTTTAAATTCATAATATTTTCTTCTCTAAAAATTATTTTGTGGGAAGAGTCTTTAAAGTCCTCATGGGCAGATATGGGTTAATAATTTTGGAGAATCCTTAACAATATTTTGTTTATCAAAACTAAATACAGGAACTATTACTCACTGAGTATATGAGCAACACTGTTTAGTCAGTACCATGTGAGGGTTGCGATAAAGTATGTATTGGACCAACAGAACAATAGAAAAAGGTTGTACCAACACAAATACGATTCGAAGAAAAACTCTCTCAGTTGTGCACTTGCTCAACATGCTAAATCGAATGGCTACTCTTTTAAATCCAATGCTACCCAGATTTTGGACAAGGAAGTTAATTACAGTAATTCCACAACATTTGCGAGAATTAGTTTCCCAAAAAGCATTGCGAACGTCAAATCCACGAATGTTGAGTCTGTATTTTAATGAAAAAAGGCGGGTTAGGTTCCTGGATATCGAAAACTGTTTAAACTTGTTATTTTTGTTGTTTCATCTCCCACTTCATGCTAACATTCAAATATGGAAGAGTTGCTGCTCCTATTTCTCTCTTAACTTTTGAAGTAAGTTCTGTATTCGCATCACATTCGAATGCCATTTTTGCTTCCACACTGAGGATGTTTTCTTTGCTGATTTCCTGAAGCTCCTCTTGAGTGAGGTCATTATAAGGCGAGTTGCACAGATCCTGAATGGGTTTTCTGTTCATGAGGCCAAAACCCTTACCTCCGATATGACACAACTAAATTGAATTGTTTTACAAATGTGTTATTCTATTTTTGTGAACTGACATTCCAACTCTGACTTTTTGCAAAACGGAAATAAAATGTGGTCGCTTAAAAAATAAAAAAAATAAAAAGAGGAGAATGACCAAAAGATGCACTCATGAGCGTTAAAACAGGTAGCACTTCTCTAATCGTGAATAGTGAATTCGCAGATGCTGAGGGATAGCTGCATAAAAAAGTTTAATTAAAAAAAATATTCACATTAATAAACACAACACTGTCACAAAAATGTTCCTATCGATCTAATTTTAATTAACTTTTTTAATATTGACATATATTGGTCATATTGCCTTCCCAATCTTTTCAACTAATTTGCATCTCAAGCTCATACTACTGACTATGATATTAATAACAATAATATATTCATTGCCTTCTTGTGGAATTCTTCAATACTTGCTATTCCACACTAAATTGTTTTATTTTACCTTCTCCTCACAACACACAAGTTAAACACTTAAAATTAATACACAAGTTGGCCAAGTAAAAGTAAAATCTTTGCTAAGAAATAACCGTTTCTATATAATTAGAGGCTACATCAAGCATCAAAAAGAAAAGTAATATTAATTTTAATAATGTATTAGTTATCATTTGGACTGCATTATAATATTAACAGATTAAATATGCCTATAAGTATTACACCTCAGCTTCTCGGTCAATGACCCATATCTCTCCTGTTTCCCCGATCCTTTGAATGAATGCTGAGATGGGCCCTTGTTTTGCTTCTGGACAAATGTAACTTCACTATCCGTGCCTAATTTCTGGATTTCAGCGAGGAAAATAGTTATTCAAATTATCATTTTCCATGTTCTAATGGCAATTCCTTCATCAAGGGCACAAAGAGAGAATAGTCAAAATCTGTAGCTAATTTGCCTTTAGAAATAGTTTTTATTACAAGGAAGCAAATATTTCTTATTAATTCTTATCAAAATTGCCTGCTTCCTCCTACATTATAATTAAACTAGAGGTTAGCATAGGCTTGCCAGAATTTAAGAAAACTTGCAGATTATTTAAAATTTATTTCTTTATTTTTTGCATTTTTCCAACACGTGTCTTAGTCCTCCTTGGGCATTGAGAGTATGTGGAGTAATCCTCTATTAACTTATTTTGTCTTTTTTGTCTAGTCAAGTCGCAGTCAGACAATGCCTTTTATCCCGTCAACTAGGGGCTCTGCTCTGTTGGTAACCAGGGTTCCCAGACCTGTCCAGGAACCCATGGGGTGAAATTGCTCAACTTTTGCGACTTTATGGTGTGCACTTAAGCAATTTGGATAACAACGCTGGCTAAGCAACTTCTTTCTGTTGCAGCATCACATACAGTTTTTAATAGTTTTTAATGTTATATAAATAAACAAATGTAGACTCATAATAAAACATTGAAAAGGCTAGTCTAAACAATGTAAACTTGATCAGATTAGAGAAATTATTTTTGAATCACAACCATCATGAGAGACTAATAGAAGAGTTCAATAAATCACACTGCTCAACTGAATTGCTACCCATAGACAAATCAGTTGCATAATTACCAATTCTGATCCTGACATATGTACCTCCAGCAATTACCAGGCACTATTTGCCTTGTGGTACTGTAACGTTGAAGCACTCAACAGAAGATTTATAACGAAAGATTAAAAACATATTAGCCCGGAGATGGCTCATTCTCCACCTAGGGAGTACATGACCTTGTCGTTGGTGGTGGAGCTTGCGTACCCCAATGATCCTGAGAG